CTTCGAGTATGAATGAGTGGTGGATGTTGTCAAACGCTTTTTCTAGATCTAGGCACAGAATGGCTCTCACGTCTCTGGTTTCATTGTCAATGAAATGGTGTTTGATAAGCTTCAATGCATCTTTTGTGGATAGCCCTGCCCTGTATCCAACCATATTGTGTGTATATATGTCGTTATCTTCCAAGTACTTGTTTATCCTGTGCAGTATGGCATGTTCTGCGACCTTGCCGATACATGATGTCAAGGATATTGGCCTCATGTTGTCCAAGATAGGGGGCTTTCCTGGCTTAGGAATAAGGATCGTGCTGGCCAGCTTCCACTGCTCTGGCACCCTGCCTTCTTTCCATGCTGAATTGATCATATCCCTTAGGGTTTCAACTGAATCGTCATCAAGGTTACGCAGGGCCTTGTTTGATATACCGTCCGGGCCAGGGGCCGACCTGCCGTTGAGATCATGCAAGGCTCTTCTGATCTCCTCGATGTTAAAGTCGCCCTCAAGACCTGGATTTGGCGTGCCCTGGTACTGTCTACTTTTTGGTGCCAATCCTCTTTTGATTGGGAGGTACTTATGCACGAGCTGCTGGACAACTTGCTGTTCTGTAGTGCGCCCTATCTCTTTATGCAAACTTCGAGCGATAACATGCTTTTGATTTGTTTTTGTGGTGTTTTCGTTGAGGAGATGCTTTAACATATTCCATGTCTTGCCATTGCGCATCTGACCATCGACGGAGTTGCAGATTTCGTCCCATTGCTGCCTCGATAGTGCGCGACAATGTTCCTCGACTGATCTGTTTACCTCAGCTATCTTCTTCCTCAGTCTTCGGTTCAGGCGCTGACCCTTCCAACGGTTCAGTAGTGCTTGCTTTGCCTCAAGAAGGTGAGAGAGTCGGCTATCGATTCTTTCAACCGGAAAATCTCAGGTAATATTGGAGGAGACGGACTTCATGTCATCTTTAATCTGTTTGACCCACTGCTCCAAGCCTTGTCTGTGGCCATCTTGTTCCCTTTCCATCCTTATCTTCCTGAACTTATCCCAGTCTGTGAAGTGGAATTCTCTCTGCTTTTTACGCTCCACGGGGAAGGTAGTGGCAAGAATGCAGTGGTCACACCCCAGGTCTACAGCAAGGTTCATCCACTGGGCATTCTTGATGTTCCTTACAAATGTAAGGTCCGGGGTGGAATCCCTGCAGCAAGATGTACCAAGCCTTGTTGGTAGGCTGGGGTCTGCGATTAGGGTGAGATCAACTTCACCGGCACTTTGCCAAAGTCGATTTCCTTTCCCAGTGTTGTACTTGTAACCTCATGTATGATGAGGGGCGTTAAAATCACCTGCTATGACGAGTGGGCATTTCCCGGCGATATTTACAGCTTTCTTTAGAAGCGTCTTGAACCCTTGCCTTTGTTCCTTTGGACTGCTGTATATATTAAGAATGAAAATGCTCTGACCGTTGCTGGTACCCGGCACGATCTCTACCAAGACGTGTTCCAACCGGCCTGTTTCTATCTTGAGGTCGTGGGTTACGTGCGTTAGTTTGTTGCATACGAAGGTGCAGACTCCCCTCCCTTCAGTATCCCCTATTACAGGCCGGAATCCAGGCAACGTCGCTTGCGGTGAAAGGGTCTCTTGTAATAATGTAATATGAGGCTTTTCTTGGCTGCTCCTGATATACTGCTGCAGGGTTGCCTTCTTTTTAAGGTAACCTCTACAGTTCCATTGCCAGATACGAAATGCTTCACGTAGCGCTGCCATCATGGTTATTACATGGGCGGCCAGAGCCTGATGCTGCACCTGTCGACAGGTTTGGTACCACTAGTATTGGTGGCCGAAGGGGTGAGCTTGGTGCATGAGGAGGCCTTGCTTTGTTGTGCAGATATGCTTCGACCTTTGTAATGCGCAAAGTCATATGCTCTTCCAGTGCCGCCACGCTTGATTGTAGCCTACCCATCTGCTCGCTAAGATTGGCTACAACTTTGCTGAGCGTGTCAAACACCTCTTTCATATCTGACATGGTCGTTTGGTTGGTTTCCATGTGTTCTGCCATGACTGCCCTCTTTTTCGTGGTTCTCGAGTCCCCCACGTTTTAAGCCACAGGGACATCAACTGGCTGAGGCATTGGCTGTGAAGATTGCGCGCTGGTTAGCTTAATGAGAAGAATTTTTATTTCCTTTAACTCAGCTGATAGCCTCTCGTTCGATTTTGTAAGTCTTGCGTTTTCTTGCTCTAGCTGTGCAATTCTATCATGCTCTGGCAGCTTACCTGTCATCACCTCTGCCCCGCCGTTGCGCACTCGCTCAGCCCAGCTGCTTTTCGAAGTAACTGCAGGCGTCGTCTGCGGGTGTGAAGCCGTGATCTCGAACTGAACGCCAGGCAGCTGGCCATTCGGGTGCCGCCCAGTCTGATCCCGACCCTGATGGTGACCTTGAGAACTCGAGCGCCCCCGTGACTGGGAGCGGGCCTTGGGTCTAGAACCTCTTCTGGAACGCGACCTCCCCCTGGAGTGGGGCCGCCTTTCCTGTTCTTGTGTAGTATGTATGCTCTGGGTCCCGTAGGCTGGGATAAGCTGCTTGTCGTTGATGTTTGGACTCGATGTGATTGATGCGTCCCGGGCTTCTGCGGCTGCTCGTGATCTTTCCCAACGTCTGCGTCTGACGACGTATGCCGCTAAGAACCTGTTCTTGCGCTCCTTGTCTGCCGTGGGATGGTGACCGTCGCACAGCCTGCATCTTGGATTGCACTGGTGCAGGCTATCTGGGTTCTTGATCTCGCAGCCTCTGCAGATTGTTTCAGCTGGGTTCGGACAGACGTCAGACCGATGTCCCAGCTTTCCACAGACGTAACAAATATCGATGTTCTTGCGGTAAAGGGAGCACTGCAAAAGTGAAGGTCCATATCTCACGAATCTGGGCACCTTGTGTCCTTCGAATGCTATGATGATTGTCTCGGTGTCCTTGATTCTTTTGGCCTGCAGCGCAAGCGGGTTGTTCGCGTTCACAATCTTTCGGGTCAAAATGTCCTGAGTATCGCTTACGGGGATCCCGCGAATCACTCCTTTACAAGTATCGTGGGGTGCCGCAGCGTACGCGCTAACCTCGAAAACTTTGCCTCCAATGTCAATTTGCTTGACCTTGAGGTATCTTGAAGCTCTGTCTTGGTCCGGAGTGCTTGCCACTATAATGTATTGCTGCAAGTTGGAACAGATGATGTCCTGCATGGCCTCTTCCTCTTTGACGCCGGCCGCCACTACTATCGCGTCTGCCACGGCTCCAGTGCCAATTCTCGAGATATTTAATTCTCCACGTGGTCGTAGCACAATTTTGCTGAAGTCCTTAGGTAGTGGCGGCATGCGTCCAGCTCGCACGATTGTATCCTTGGTGTCATACCTACTACGACTGGCTCGAGCGTCTCCCGCAACGCCAGCCTTGGTCGAACCCTTGGCAGCAGGAACGCTAACCGTGGCTTGCTTATTCCTTGAGCGTCTCGTTTCGGCTTCCTTCCAACCCATGTCTTCCGTGCAATCCTCTGGAGAGATGTCCTCTCCATCTACTTGGTATTCCATTCTCAGTTGCAGATCCTGGAACGCGCAGAGCGTTGAGTCGCGTTGGCGCCGGGCCGGCGCATCGGCGACAATCGCCTCCTTGGTTAGGCTTAAATCCCCCGGTGGCGTTGCCGTGTAAAAATGTCCCAAAAAACGGTTTAAAAGTCCACTCACCAGCACAAAGGTAGTATCTGCTGATTTCTTGAGAACTTAGGCACACGATGGGACTAAAAACTCGGCGACAAATTCGTGAATACTACAGGAAAGCATTCTTGAAAGCAGGAGCCGATCTTCGCGCGTCCGCACTGGTCGGCACCTAGAGCGTCTCCCTACGAATATAAATGATACGTCCAAACTTGATAATCGTGTGCGTTTCTTGTGAAATTTGACTACATGCTACGCTCATAGCGTTCTCGCAACTGTTTCACTAGTTTCATATATATATATATATATATATAAGTTCGGTATTACGTGTCGTGAATGGACGACGAATGTAAACGACATGTCCAAACAGGATAATCATGATATAGGTGCCATGCAAACATGATTATATGCTACGCTCATAGCACGCTCGCGGGTGTTTCGCTAGCTTCACATATACCAAAGTTGGTATCAAGTGACGTTAATAGATGATGAAGGTAAATTAAACGTCGAAACATGATGAATCATGACATGGAAGTCATGTACGGCATATCTTACATCCTTCTCGTAACGTTGTGCTGATTTTGAAGTTACCTACTAACATTCCTAATTCGTGCTTCGCGTATGCTCTATTCCCACTGTTCGTGGTGTCTGCCAATTATTTATTCATTTATTTGTCTATATATTTATTCAATTTTATTTTATGGATATACCCATTGGTTAGGCCGTGGCGGACAAATGGTCACTGAAATCGTTCACCTTTTGTTGTTCTGAACACGTCGTCAGCAAACTAACAAGGACTGTGGTTTCAAGGACTGCTCCTTGCGGCTCTCTCATACTGGTCTTTGCAAAGGTAGTATGCATATTTGCCGTCGTATAATACAAGATACTCAGAAACGTTTTCGACACAATGAGTTCCTCTTCTGGAGCTGTTCTATAGTTAACAGTTTGCATGGAAACTACACATTATTTGTAGTTTCCTATTGCGCTAAAGATTAGCAAGCAGACAGATAGACGATAGAAACAAATTTCATCCGTTATGTTTTGCTCTTTGTGTGGTTCTTCTTTCTAGCGGTAGGAGTAAGTACAAGCTGGATACCATTTAGCCCTATTTAACGCTATTTTGAATTGCTGCTTTATTTTCCATTGTGCGCACTCCTATGATGTCTTGCAGAAAACTGTGCATGTAGTTATTCTAGAATATTATGCTGTTTCCTTTTGTCTATTTCGAGCAGCACATCCGCTACGTTTTTCTAGCCTGCATTTGCGCTCGTGCTTCCCAAAAACGAGTCATCGTCTCAAGACATTGATTTTTGGCTGCAGAACTGCCTCCGATCAAGGCTCCTGTGGGACAAGCACCCAAGCCCGACCTGAAGAACGTGCGCTCCAAGATCGGCTCGCTGGAAAACATCAAGCACAAGCCTAAAGGCGGGGAAGTCAGGGTGAGGAGACGCATTCATCTCTCCAAACTACACAGCGAGAATAGTCAAATCATGCGCATAAAGGAGCGATCTGCCGTCGAGAAAAGCGCTTATTTTTTTTTCAGACCACATGCAGCTGAAGTTTTTATCATTTATGCATACTTAAAACCGTGTTTCGTCCTTCAAAGATACTGTTCACTTTGTCAAAATACTTATCCGCTAACTCTGTGCAGCTACCACGCGGTACTATTTATTGAACCATTAGGTCTGCGAACTTTCGTGATTAAGTCTTTATTTACTACATGTCCTGGATAACCTATACAATTCGTAGCTCAATATACCTGTTTTCATGAAAAAAGATTCATGCATCATTAAACAAGGAAAGGCTTGCCTTTTAAATTTATTACTAGGACTATTGCAAGTAGCCTGGCCTGGAGCAGCGGATCTCTCTTTATTAAAGCATATTTTTTACAATTTTTTAAGTTGAATATATATACATGTTAATAGGTTATTACAGCAATTTTTTTCATCCATTTTCATTAATTTTTATTGGGTATTGTTAATGACATTTTTCTTAATACGCTAGACAAGATATGTTGGTGCCTATCATGTCAGTGTTGGTAATAGCTACTCATTTTGTTAGCACAACATTAAAACAGAAAAAAAGAAAGACGGAAAAGATGAGTGAACAGGAAGCAGAGCATGGTGAAATGTCCCAAAGCCTTCCCGAACATTCCTGCATTAATGAAGAAAACATTGAATTGCATAAACAAATTTATTTTGGCTCCCACAGTACTGGGTGTAACGGTAAATAAAGGTAAATATAAGAAAGTGTGTGAGAAAAATGCAGCTAATTCAGCTGACGCACCCACACGTACACAATATGATGCAAGAGCGACTCAAAAAAGAGACGTCATCTTCATAAACATATTATGAGTCGTATATAATCAACGTGAAGACCAAAAAGCCATACGATACAAAGGAGTATATAGCACAGACTGTTAATAATAACGTTCTGCGTCCCCCGAGTCTCTTGGTCTCATCCAGTTTATTTTCTGACCATACAGTTATAGGTATGCCTCACTTCTGCAATGCGCTCCAACTGTAGCCTAACTTGCCTGTTCAACACAGTAATTATAAAGATCTGTTGCAAAAACGCATCTTTAAAACAAACCGTGGGTTGCAGGTCAGGGTTCCCTTCCGTGCGTGTCTCGTTTTGTATTTCTTCACCTATCGGGTTTTTTTTGTTTTGTTTTGTCAATGTTCAAAAGAACATGAATCATCACACCGTGCCCTGGTGGGTGTCTTCGCACTATCTCACTCTGCGTCTTTCTTTGCAATCACAGGTGACGACGCAGAAGCTGGAATGGCGAGCCGCGTCCAAAGTGGGCTCTCTGGACAACGCGGCTCACAAGCCGGGAGGCGGAGACAAGAAGATCCTCTCGCAAAAGCTCGAGTTCAAGGCGCAGTCGAAGGTCGGGTCGCTGGACAACGTCGACCACAAGCCGGCCGGTGGCCAAGTGAAGGCGAGTGCGCGAATGAGTAAAAATGAACCAAAAGAGAACAGGAAGCTGAGGAAAGATAACGGGTTGATCTTATTTGAAATGAAACCAAATCGGTCCATAAACTGAAACTTACTTTTTTTATACTGAAAGGTGCTTCCACTTACCTGACGATATGGTAAAGCCACCTGCCAAGGTAACCTAATGATTACGGTGGTCCGAAGGAAGGTCACTGGATCGACTCCCTGTAGTGTGCCGAATTTGGTAGGAGACGAAAGGATTGAGGCCCGTGTACATAGAGTTAGTTGCACGTTAAAAGAGCCCAGCTGGTCCATATTTCTGTAACCTTCCACTGTACGACATCTCCCACAATCGTAACGCAGTCGTGGAACTTAAAATACCAACAATTATTAATATTTATCTCAAAACAGTTACCTCCTTCAATTGTTCTGACACACTGTATTCACGTTTCTGTGCTTCATCACTTTACGGCAGTATACAGAATTTAAGAAGGCAGACAGAATAGAACTGACGCGAGAGCGAGAACGTTGTAACATATTTAATGGCAATAGGTGTTGCTGTTGAACGAAATTGCGCATCGTTAGGTAGGTACTCTTCATTTATTTTGGCGTTATAGCTCGAGAAACGACGCATGCACGCGATATGCGACTTTGGCACCTGTATTCGCTACATTGTTGTGTTCTCCTCTTCACTGCGTAGTGTTCTCCATTAAAAACAGAAATTGTATACCAACATGCAAAAAACGCCGTTTTAAGGAAATTCCTTCATTGTCTAAATGAGTAGTTTTATGAAACACACAAAGGAGTAGGTATACGTAGTACAGGACATGAAAAAGCGGTGTCTCATTGGTTAGTTGTTATAGAAGTTTTACTCTCGAAACTATTGAAGTAACAATTATGGAAATATGAAATTGGTTGCTAAGTGTAAGTGCGCGAGGCCACTCGGAGAAGCTGAGCCATCTAGCGTTAAGTATGTAGCGTGAAATTATGGCTTTTATATTATAAATTCAATTCGATCATGCGCAGCATCATGTATGCGCTATTTATGGTCAGTTGACAGATACTTAACAGACTATGGCACGGTAATTCATAGGAACACAAAATAAGTAGCAAAGCCAGTCACTAATTTATTTGTTGTGAAATATTGTCGAGGTTGTGCATTTGCCCAACTGCTCCCCCATACAATCTCATGTCCCATGACTTAGACCTAAATATTTTTCTCTTCCCAGCATACTTTTTGCTCTGTATATTGTTCAAGATATAATCTCAAGTATTTGTTTTCTAGTTAACTTGAATACCAACCAAGTTTCACAAATAAGGATGCACAAAGTATTCTAATAACAGTTCTTGCATTTTATTGAGGTGTGAACATTTTCATTTTCCTGTAGTGATGCTAACAAAAAAAAGCAAGCCTCTTATTTTGACGTATATAGATGTGGCATTGGTCTTCAGGCAAACAGAATCAACATGTGTGCGCGCGTTACCGGGTAAAGTCAGTGAGCACCTATTATAATCCTCAGTTCCTAGCCATGTGTAATAGATTGATCACTCAACTAGAGCTTCGAGAGTGCTTGTTAGTAAAATTTAAACTGCCTCACCATTCAGGATTGAAAAAATAAAAAAAAGAAAACATCAGATTTGGGGGAATCGTGTTTACTTCCTAAAAGCAAACTAGGGGAATTCGTAATGCCGATGCGTCATATGTATGGGGACGTGATTGGAATTGCGAAGTAAAAATAGCATATTTAAAAATAGCAAGGAAATGCTGCGACAAACTTCTTACCCGTTTTTTTTTATGCAAGCTGTAGGCTGCAAGCTGGCTGTCTATCTTATGTTACAAACGCCACCTTACAAATGACAAAAGTTATTACCAACAACTTGTCGTCAATTTATGGTACGCATTGTATATAAAGTGGTGTACTTCGTTGACGTGAACACGTGCTACACATTTCAAACGTGACATGAATTAAATGTGAATGCCTCTCACGTCTACGTTCATATGCCTTGTTATAAAGGTAAATATCTGCATAACTGCGACCAACAATAGGCATCGTTGCCTTCGGCAGTGATACCTTATGTTGATCACTGGAGCAACATTGTATCGAACAGTTATGACCTTTTCTTGTTGTAGCATTTGTACTGAACTTTGCGTAGGTGTAGCATAAAGCATTACTGCAGTGATAGTATACCCCATCTTCTGCTGCATGTAAAGCCTGTTCTCTCAAGCAGCAAATAACCAACTTTATCGTTGATAGCACATCTTTTCATGCACAAGTGTATTTATTCACGCACGCTTGGACATGTTTCACCTATCTGCAAGCAGTGAAACCTGCTTCTGCAAAATTGTGATGAGTAGTCATTCAATAGGCAATTTCCCTGTAACCGAATTTTACTATTGGTGAGGGCATGATTTTCTTGGTAAATACACGTCCTCTTGTAGAGATAGTGCTCCAGCGATATTTCTTATTCAGCTAGGGCTTATCATTTCAAGCCTCTATTCTCCCCTGAATTTCTGTCACTGGATTGTTACAAAGCTGGTTTGATGATTGCAAAACACTCTGGGGCATAGATTTACATTCAATTGTAAGATAACTGCGATTTGTATATTGCACGCAGGTGGAGACTCAAAAACTGGACTTCAAGGACAAGGCGTCGTCCAAGGTTGGCTCCTTGGACAACGTCAAGCACAAAGCGGGCGGCGGCAATGTAAAGATCTTGTCGGAGAAGCTCGAGTTCAAGGAAAGGGCAGCTTCGAAGATTGGCTCCTTACCAGCCTCGGATGCGGGAAGCACAAGAGGCTCGGAATCGCTAGTGCGTATTTTGCCTCACTAAGAACACATTGCACCTAAAACACGTGGCAAGTTTTATTAAATCTTTTGTACAGCAGTCATAGACTATACATAGCCTTCATTGATTTCGAGAAGGCGTTTTATTCAGACGAAATATCAGCAGTCATGCAGACACTAAAGAATCAGGGCATTGATGAAGCATATATAAACATCCTAGAAAAAATATATAGGGGATCAACTGCTACCATAGTGCTTCATAAACAAAGCAACAGAATACCAATCAAGAAGGGTGGAAGGCAGGGGGACGCAATCTTCCCAATGCTATTTACCGCGTGCTTACAGGAGATTATCATAGGCCTATAATGGGAACCGTTAGGGGTAAGAGTTAATGAAGAGTAGCTTAGTCACTTGTGCTTCGCCGATGAAATTGCATTGCTGAGTAACTTAAGGGACGAATCGCAACTCATGATTACGGAGTTAGACAAGGAGAGCAGAAAGGTGGGTCTTAATATTAATGTACAGAAAACGAAAGTAATGTTCAACAACCTCAGAAGAGAGCAGCGCTGCGAGATAGATAATACTACACTTCAAGTTGTAAAAGACTATGTCTACTTAGGGCCGGTGATAACCACGGAGCTGAACCATGAGATTTGGGTAACTAGAAGATTGAGACTGGGATGGAGCACATTTGGCAAGAACTCTCAAATTATGACAGGTAGATTGCCACTATCACTTGAGAGCAAGGTATATAACAGCTGTATATTGTCGGTACTTAGCTACAATGGAGCAGAAACCTGGAGACTTACAAAGAGGGTTCAGCTTATATTGAGGACGACGCATCTAGCAATAGAAAGAAAAATGGTAGGTGTAATCTTAAGAGACAAGAAGAGAGCAGAGTGAATTAGGTAACAAACTGGGGTTAAGGATATTATAGTTGAAATCCTGAAGAAGAAATGGACATAAGCCGGGCATGTAGCGCATAGACAGGATAACCACTGGTCATTAAGGGTAACTAACTGGATTCACAGAGAAGGCAAGCGAGTTATGGGAAGACAGAAGGTTAGATGGGCAGGTGAGATTAAGAAGTTTGCGGGTATAAAGTAGCAGCAGAAAAAGCACAAGACCGAGTTAACTGATGGAACATGGGAGAAGTCTTTGTCCTGCAGTGGACGTAGTCAGGCTGATGATGATTATGATGACAGCAGTCATCCTTGTGGAACGAACAGGAACTCAATATCCCAACTGAGTAGATGGCTCACTGGGTATTGCGTTTTGCTTGTCCATACATAAAAGAATAGGCTTTAGTGTTAATCATTCACCTGCATTGATGCAGAGGTCTTATATATACAAGCAATACCATGATCACAAGTGACAGTTACTCATTTGCATTCTTCGATAGGGTAGTAGAAATAATATGGCTCTTGATGCAAAGCCACGCAACCCGTAATGACGTTTTCTCAGTTTTTCATTTGCCTTTGTGGGTTATAAACTACACCAAGCTCACATTTTGCTCGCATATGCTATTTTGCTACACCTGGACTTGATCTTTTTCAACAAAGAAATAAATTATCAATTCATAGCTGAAAATCTTAGATACAACATAGACACTTCGCACCAACGTCACCAAGGTAAACAGTATCCTAAAAAATCATCATCGCCACCGTTGCGGTCCACTGGCTCAGTGAAAACTAATAATGACATGAGAATAATTTTTTTTTTCTTCACATTTTCAGATCCTTTGATGTTATGTTGTTCTGATATGGTCTGTGTATATGTAGATCCCAAAATATTGCGCAAAATGGCCCCAGTCGCATTAGTCACGTGGCATACTCCTCTGGCTACATTTGATATATCTTTTTAGTACTTTGTCTGCTCGCAATTCAGGCATTTCTTCTTGATATTGTCATCGTAGTAGCAGAAGAACATAGTTATTCATAATATATCTTGACATGTATGGCTATATTATGAACATATCATATATTCATCACTTACCTAACCAGTAGTTATACAAGGCCTTACCTTTGTATTTATTTGTATTTGTCTTTAAAGCAGCCTAAGACTTAACGTCAAATATTCGATCTAAAGGGGGCAAAATTAAGGGTGTGCAAGTTACTTGCTGTGCATACCATAGAAGCGACCCCCTACGTCAATATATGAGAGTTAGTTGAGTATGAGTATGAGTGACCCCTGCGATAACATTGTTCACTGCGACGCTTTGCATGCACTAAAACAAAGAGATCTCTCGTTAAGTCCCAGATAAAGTGTGCCCTATAATCATGAACATTAAATACTGCTGCATGATATGACTTTGTTGACGGCTTCTTACGTGATATAGCGTTGTTTTTACAGCTTAATTAGGCCACAGGACTTCAGCAATGGTCACATGTGCGTTAGGTTTCTTCTTCTGCTACAGTACCAATACACTTGAAATCACAAAAAATGTTGAGCTGATTAAAGAAGATTTAAAGAAGAAAAATTGCACAAATTTCAGCTGCACTTGTAACCAGTATATATATATATATATATATATATATATATATATATATACACATATATATATAATTTGTTCACTCAGCAAGTTAACCATATTATCCTTGTTATATGGAGTCACTGTGATTCTTTTTGAAGGTGTTGTTTTATGAAAGCTGGTAGATCAGATGTTTGCTTACAATAGAAAGAAACTAAAATATTTGGTACATAATTGCGGGGTAAAGTGCTTGCCATAAAAATATTAACATAAAAAAGAAGTCAAGATATTTGGTAGCGCTTATAATAACCATTTTCTTATTCGGGAAGACCAGAAAAAGTAAATCATTGCCTCAAACGTTGCATAGCATTATTTCCTAATATATATACTGCTTCAACACGGTGAATTTCTCACGTGTTAAATGTTAAAATGTAAGGCACTGCCAGCCCTTTTGTATCTGATGCACCTAACGCTGTCACAGGCGACCATGTTATGCTTGTTGCATGATGCATGCTGTCCGCGAAAAGACTATATAACAAGAATATCAACTGGATCGAATGCAAAGCTACTTGTGCGATTTTGTGCTACTTGAGTGACTTGTTTGTTTTTCTGCGATAGTGAGAATGGCCAAAGCTTTGAAGTGCACCACTTAGCCTATGAAAGAAACTGTAAATATGGGTTTACAAATGCTCTTTGAGAATAGCAGCAAGCGCATGTACGCAAAAGATCAAAGCACTAAAAGCATCTACATTCTATTTTCCCTATCAATTCATGCCAGGGCGCAGACAGAATTTCCCGCGTCTCCAACAATTCATGTGCGAAATTATTTTCTCTCATTAACTTGCAGAGTCCCACAAACCTGACCAGTCCTCACCCGGCGCAGTCGCAGCAAAGCCAGGAGGACGACGTTGCTGCCAATGGCCATGAGTCGGACATCTCTCCCACCAAGGAGGAAGTGGCAGCGCCATCCAGCGGCGTCCCTGCGTCAGCGCCGCCACCTGAAGTGGCCCAGTGTTGATCCGCTATCGAGGGGCCGCAAGAGGAGAAGACAATTGTAGAGACCGCGCGGAAATTGCTCGTGGCCCACGCGAACTAGCAGTGTCGCCCACCTACACCTCTGTTCGCCGAGCAGGCGTGCCATCGTTTGCCAAATCCTCTCGCCAGGAGATCTTGCATATTGTAGACTGCACAAGTAGCAGCCACTCACAAACGGTTGACATACCTAGCAGTGGGTTGCACATTTTTGAGCACAAGTCGTAAATGCGGCTGTTAAGGATTTACTGGAACTAAGCGAACGGCCCGTAAAAATTATCGTGGCTGGGCTTTACGAATGAGAAATAGTAGAGTTGCCAGAGTTGTTCCTTTACAGGCACAGTTGAAGGTCATTTCCACAGACAGCTATTGTAGGAAACGTGCACTATAATAGAAAAAGAAATATACTTTGACTGAGTATTTTCCTCGTTTCACTGCGTGAAAAACGATGTATTGAAAACCCGCCACTACTGATGGCCTACGATAGAGGGCTGCTGAAGCCACATCGCAAGAACTGTGCCACTTTAGGCTTGTCCAGTGAGTGCAGTTGGGAACTTGATGAACGGCAACGGTGAAGCAAGGTGCGGTCGGCCCTTAAGGCAGTTTTCTCAATTAAAAATAAGTACATACGTACAGACTACCCCTGTATGGTCACTTTACTCAACAATAACAGGAAAGCTGCATGTGAAGCCTACAGGAGAGAAAAACGTCACGCTAATGTTGTGACGATCGTAATATCATACTCTAAGCCCACTATTTTATAACAGATAAGCGAAGACTTCCGTGAAAAAGGTATAAAGCAGATGCAGCGTATTCAAATGAAAAGCCCTGATGATAACAGTCGAAGTAACGCGGACGGCCTCATCCTTGTACGATATGATCTGGTATCGTGCAAAAAGAACGAAATGTTTTCAAGATGGACATGGTACGAAGAAGTTTGTGTCACAAAAGTATGGGTAGACAATAATTAATGAACTTAGTTGAAACGCAAATTTTTCGTCCTCCCGAAGGTCGGAACAGCTTTTAGTAGTTTCATAAGCGCACATAGCTTCTTACGAATCCTTATAGACCAGAAATTCAAAAGAGAACAAAATATATAGGGAAGGAATGGTCACTCGACCACTTGTGAGAAGGCAGTGAAATATTTGCGAATCTGCCAGAAAGCGTGGCCACGAGCATTTCTGGAAAAGCAACTGGACGATTGACATAGCCAAACAGACAAGCGCCATTCTATATAACAAAGTATTCCTGTTATTTTACCTCGTATTCGCGAGTCAGACAAGCAGTAATGATTTTTTCGCCTTTCTATAGAAAAACAACGCATAACGTCATGGTCCGTGCATGTAAAGGACTTGAACATTCTTGTTCCGTTATGTTCCCACACAACTTACTCCTCTTTATTTCGTGAAAAGTTCTTCCGTGTTTGCCCTGATTTCAAGGTGCACAACCTTTTTTCATGTGCCGTGAGATTCAGAGTGACTTGTAAAACTGCCGAAATGAAAAAGAAGCGTCGGTCTGTTTTATCTTCTCCCGATAACTCCACTTTACACTTATAGATATTCGTAAACAGCCGCACTGAAGGAGATGGTGTGCCATTACCAAGAAATTGGGTCGGAACTCCTCTATATATACTGTGGCGGGTCAGGTAGCGTTTCAAACGAAACGTTGCAGTTTCATGCTAGAGCATCAAATATTCAGTCATTTTCAAGAGCCTGAAATCCCCACATGGTTCCTCGTATTTCCTAAAGAATATAAATGTAGTCACTGGAAAACCTCTTATTTTAACGGTTACTTGTTTTCGTGGTGCATACTGTAACATGTTGTACTTCTTCCACTACCCTATTTGTTCCCCTGGCCTTACGACTCTTATTACCTAACAAAATCTGTGTAACTGTGACGTAGGTATAGTCGTTAACCGAAGTACCGTAGTCACAGAAACTTGCCTAGTGCAGTTTAAAACCACTTGGTGGGGCACACTGGAGACTGAGAAAGGCGCTATTGCTACGGCTACAATAGCAAGACAGGTATGTCCGTTCGTCATAACGACAGATCATCGTCTCGTACAACAGCAGGAGTTTTCGTGTCGTTATAGCGTCATAGCTCATAGGAATACTACGATCGTAAAAAAGATGCAGCACAAGTTCTCCTGATTATTTTTCCTGTCTTGTCTAGTCTTTCTTCTGAGAGCACAATAATATACCGTAACAGTTGTTGTACTGTGACTGCCTTTCTAATACAGCTTATATCGGTACTCGCTTATGTGCCCTGTTGGTTATCTAGGGTTCATGACCACCCGGAAGCCTGTTCGTTTTTTTCTAGTAATCAGCCAAGCAGCTACCCCGATCTTGTAGCTTTAGTCCTCGTGTTTATACATACAGACGTATCGAAATGCAGGACGCGCGCTGCTTCAAACTTATCAGAACACAGCGGCAGGGTGCGTGCTCGTTTCTTTGCAGCGGTAAGAGAGACATTTCACAAGATCAGTGGCTGCAAATGTAATCGGTTGCTTGGCTGATAACACGTATGCGATAAAGAGTGCCTGTGTAAGTCTAGCTGAACGCTGTGGCTTGCTCTGTAAAGGACGTGCTAAATGATTTTTCGAGGCTTAGAAGAAGACTTCGTCGCTAGGAAATAAATATTGTATGTGTGTACGTGGTCTTTAAGTATAACATAGTACTGAGCATACTATTCACTCTGTTTATTTTCGTAACGTGTACTTATTGCCTAGTTAATAAACCAACATTATTTGAGAGGCTACGCTGCTATCTACAATACACGTGCACGTTCGTGCTTTTAAGGTGATTGTGTATTTGTTAAAGAGCTTTATCGCAATGCCCGTTCCTTCTGAACATGGCGACATTAGCCAAACGTTACGAGATTAGTATTTCAGATGTCCTGGCTTCATCAAAGACGTTCCAGGGCGCGTCATTCCGAGTGAATACAATGTGAGAGCCTCGTCGACCCCAGAATCTACAAAAAAATTTCTATCACAAAATATCATCTCGTTACGCCATGACGTCATAGCCACGCTCACGCCTCTAACCTCTCCAACGCGTACGCGACAAACGCGCTGAATTATCGCGGCTCTAAGCAAACGGCAGAGGTCCCATACTCCTGGTGTAACGCCCACTTTTGACGTCACAGCGTGGTCTTCGACCCCCGCCATACCTTGCCTATCCCTTCAGCTTAAGCGGGCCTGCTCCACGCAGCTCCGACTCGATTACTGCTCCCCCAAACATTTAGACGGTGCACTACTCGGCGTCAGGTGTAAGCGAACAGATCTGCTAGACTTTGCTTGTATATACAAAAATGTCTGGCAATCTTTAAGGCGTTCAATTTCGAAGAATATACCCGAACTATCTTGCAGAATAAAACTCCTAGTTCTTGTAAGAAATAAACTAATCGTCATGTTCCACCTTATCCGGGTCACAGTCTTAAGTATACCTGGATGCTTCGAAGTTGCTTAAATTGTATGTCACTATCCCGATGTTGTCAATGTAACCAGCGTGAGCTTTTATTGTTGAAAAGCGTGATGAAGCACTGTGTTAATGCGCGAGCCATGCTCTTCTCTTTGTGCGTTGTCTCTTGTGGAAAAAAAAGAGCGAAGGCTGAATTGCTGTTGACCTATTTACAGCACAACTTGTGGCTGTGCTGTGGAAACAGTCATGGCTGTTCTAAAAGAAAGTGAGCTACATTCCTTTGGCCATTTCGTAAAGCACGTTGATTTTTTGGAGAGCCATGCACACATTTTGCTATACTTGTAAACTGTTACGTGACAATGTCAACGTGAAATAAATGGGAATTGTAATAATCATGGGTCAATGGATTCCATTAAGCAAGATGTACATCATTTTGAATATTGCCTGCCATGCTTAGTCGTGCGATCAAGGTTATCTGCTTAAAGAGTGCCGACTGTCATAAAAGATGTAGCGGTGTGAATATGTTAGAATAAAACGAAAATGTCATTATATCTTTCTTCTAGTTCAAACTGACGCTTCAAGTAAGGTTGAGTGAAAGGCGGCTCCCTGTGTGACGAAACAGTTATTGAAGTCGGGAAGTTTAGAATTAAGGCTGTGTGGTCACACTACAAAATTCGGTTGCACAGGGCAATATTCACGGTGGAATGCCTCTTGCATGATGGACTTCCACGCTCTGTGTAAGAAGTCTGTGCTGCTTTGGTGTGATGCGCTTTGCGTCGTGTAGAACTGCGAAGATAATGTATGAAAATAAGAGCGCGCTCGTACTATACATATACACGTAGAGCCTGCCCTCAGCAGAGTTCATGTGCCATTTTGTATCAAGTATTTTATAAGAATTGTGCACAGTGCACCATAGCAAGCTTCTCCTGCGTTCGCTTGGGCACGGCGTTACTGTTGTCGATAAGTTTACGTTTTTTTATTGATGTATAGCTTAATTTATTTAAAAAGAAAGGCGTTTGAGGGCAATACGTAGTGTACACATGCTGTTGACGATCTCTATAGAGTGATGTCAAAGCACTAGCTAAATTTCAGTAATGAAAAATCTTACCTTATATACATTTTTAAATATACAAATGTAGCATGAACTTCACTGTGCCTAACTGTCGACCAACTTTAGTTAGAGCTTTATTTTGTTGAATAACTACAGAGAGCCTGTAGAAGAGCTGACTGAAAACGATTGTTGCAACATGCAGTATTGCTGTCGCAAGTTTGCTTGCTTTTAGGGTTCGACGAAAGCAACGTGACGATGGGACGGTTGCGTTTGATCATTTATGTTTCAAGGTATGAAGTGTTACTGCGAGATTTTTTTGTGCTGTTCACTGTCTCCAAGATTTGCCGTGCTTCGAAAGTGATAAGCCTGAATGAATGTTAACTGCCAAGAAACAGTATAGCACGTAATGAAAAAACGACGACAATGATTATCAGGTTGAAGCTACTACCACTTCCTTACAACCACATATGATGGGTATTCACCCAGCTCTGGAACTTAAAATCCCAATGGCGTGGTCTAGTCTGAACATAAATAAACGTGGTGAAGTTACTTCTCGGTTATACCGTTTTGCGTTCTGCAACCAGCAATTTTTTTCTTTGGTTAATCACTCCAGCTCTGCTGTGATGATCGGGTCGTTGTTGAATTTGAAGGCGTGCTATGCATTGTTTGCCAAATTTCATGTGTTGATACACCACCAATATACCTGTATCTAAACAGGAAACTGTATTTTGTAGACCCAATAAATCATAGAAATTAACGATCACTGTGAATCTGTTGTATCTGTTTTACTATAGACGCATCATAGGCACGGCTAAGCTCTCATTCGATCAGCAGTGAACTCGAACTATATTGTTACGGGGAAAATTTATTTACCGAGAGCTGGTCTTGCTAACGCCTTAAAGAGCGCACAGTCATGCAGGCCAACAGGAGAAACTCGAGAGTCCAACCCACAACAACCACGTTGTCGTCTTCTTCATTTGGGTGCCAACTCAGCTGTGTCGGGGCGACAGTTCCATACACGTATCATCAGCTCGGCCCGTAAAGCACCGTCTCGGTGCCTGTTAAATGAGCGAGTCGGCGTTGTAGGGCTTGAGACGAGAAACGTGGACTACTTCCGTTCTGGGTGCAGCAGCTGATGAGTTTGTGGTAGCGGCAATCTCGTAAGTCACAGGTGTGACCTGACGAATGACTCGGCAGGGCCCAACGTATCGCGATAGTAGTTTCTCGCAGAGGCCAACACGTCGAGATGGGAGCCACAGGAGAACAAGAGATCCCGCAGAAAAAAAAACGGCAAGTCTATGTCGACGGTCATAAAGGGGCTTCTGTGCTGTCTGCGACGACGATAACCGAGCGCGGGCTACCGCGCGTGCCGTGAGGGCACGGGTGATCGCATCCTGCGCGTACGAAGTGGGGGATGGGTGGTCTGGTGAAAGCAGTGTGTCGAAGGGCAGTAAGAGATGACGTCCGAAGAGTAGATAAAAAGGGGAGTAGCCCGCTGTTTCATGACGCGTTGAGTTATAGGCGAAGGTGATGAACAGCAGAGCTATGTCCCAATCAGTGTGGTCGGCAGATACGTAGATGGAAAGCATGTCTGTCAATGTGTAGTTTAGGCGCTCCGTAAGGCCGTTAGTCTGAGGGTGGTAACATGTGGTGAAGTTGTGACGGGTAGCACAAGATCGGAGTAGATGATCAACCACATGAGATAGAAAGTAGCGACCATGGTCTGTGAGCAGGTGAGGCGGAGCGCCATGCTGGAGAATAATGTCGTACAGCAGGAAGTCGGCAACGTCGGTTGCACAGCTGGTTGGTAGCGCTCGAGTGATTGCATGCCGGGTGGCATAGTCTGTGGCCACTGCCATCCATTTATTTCCAGTTGTAGAAGTAGGAAAGGGACCTAGCAAGTCCAACCCCACTCGATATAACGGCTCGGCTGGAACTTCAATAGGTCGAAGAAGACCGGCAGGGCGAGTCGTAGGCTTCTTTCGGCGATGGCAGAGGTCGCGACATGCGACTTAACGGCGAACAGAGTGGTAGAGACCCTTCCAGAATACTCGTCGTCGAATGCGGTCGTAAGTTCTGGAGAATCCTAGATGTCCAGAAGTTGGAGCGTCGTGGAATTGTTGCAGAACATCCTTTCGCAGGTGATGCGGTACGACGAGCACCTCCACCTCCACTAAAAAGCACCTCCACCGAAATGTTACGGGGAAGATTTATTCACCGAGAGCTGGTCTTGCTAACGGCTTAAAGAGCGCACAGTCATGCAGGCCGACGGGAGAAGCTCGAGAGTCCAACCCACAACAACCATGTTGTCGTCTTCTTCATTTGGGTGCCTCAGGTACATACACGTATCAATATTAATCAGTGCTGTTGCGTTTGTAGCTGTCACCGTTATCACGCTTATCACCATGGTGTTAGGAACTTGGAAGAATAATTCGCCAGAAAACGATGCTGCTGCAGCCAAAACAATCCCGGGCGAATAGCCAGGTTTATAATCAGCACTCGTTGCGCTGCAGTCTTCAGGCTGCTGTCATTAATGATGTCGCGAATGTCAGGACCTCTCCATCTTCAACGTGCCATATTGCGAATCACTTAAGGAGCCCGGCTCTGTAGTATGCTGTCATCTCACATCCCTTCTGAGTCACGTAAGCAAAATCTAGTATAACATGGTCATGTATAGTGTGGTATAGCAGAAGTGCGGGAAATATACGCGAAGCTGAGGAGTGATGTGAATTTGAAAAGAAGGGAGAGGGGTAAATCAGAGGGTACACCATACCAGAACTGTGAATAGTATATCATACACTTGTGGATTGCAGTATAACAAGGCGTTGGAAAGGGAAGTCAGGGTAAGGAGGAAGAAAATGTGCGTGGAGAAGGGGGGGGGGGGGGGGTAAACCGCAGCGTAGTCAATACAGTTTAGCAAAGTCGTGCATAGTCATCATTGTCAGCATGCTAACGCAAACTCCCCGGTAAAGGTCTTTCCCGTATTATGCCGATCAGGCCGGTGTTGTGCTTGCTGCTGCTGCCACGTTGGTAGCTGTCACGTTTATTGGAACGTAGCTAAGAGAGAGAATGAGAAGTGAGGATGAGAGGAAGAAATTAAGGCGGAGGCTAAAGCGCAGCCTCACTGCATATAGCCCCTTATGAAAATGACTATTGATTTTTCATTGTCGGACTATGATCAAATAATTGACTTGATTGATCATCAATGGTTCCGCAATACTCATTGACTAGCTTCAATACTTTGTCGACAATATTTCTGTTGAGAATTTTGGAATAAGAATATCATTCACTCATATTTATTGAAATACCATTGAGGAAGTATTTCGTAAACAACATTTCTGTTGAGCACTTTGCAATTAAAATTTTATTGTCTCATTTCTATCCAACAACCATGGACGAAATAATTCGTAAACAACATTTCTGTTGATCACATTGCAATAAAAGTTTTATTGTCTCATTTCTATCAAGAGACCATGGACGAATTATTTCGCAAGCAATAGTTGATAAGAAAAATTGAGACGCGCACCCGATGATGTTTTCCTGCGCGTGCGCGTGAAGAAGGGTGAAAAAATGGGCCCCGTATCTGCATGTGATCCGCAAATGTTGTCGAAAGACGATAGTCTTGCGTGTGGAGGGAGTGAACAAAAAAAACATTTATTTGATGTTCTGCACAAGAAAATTGGTGAATGGTATTATGGAGGCGCTGCGTTAGAGTGCTTGGAGCGTGCAGCGGAGGCTAACGAGCGCATCAAGGCACGTCACACACGAGACATGAGCGCCATCTGGCAGTTTTTTTTTTTTTTTGAAGATGAAGCGTGCGCGCCCGTCTTATCACCTCTGAGACAGGCGTGCGTGCCCGTCTCAGAAGTGATAAGTGCCTGTCTCAGAGGTGATAAGGTGTAGAACGACGGCGACGGGTAGGTACCACCACCGTAAGCGTTGGAAACACCACTCGCTTCTTCTTGCAAGCATTTCATGGTGAGCGCAGCGTGATAAACGCTACGGTCCTTAGAAATACTTATGTATGCCTTTTCTAGTAAAAGATGAAGATGCAGAATATATACGTGTTGTTATGGTGCCTTAGATATGCGCGATAATTGTTTTTAAAGATGATAGTCTTTTTTGGGGACCTTTGAAGCAAATATTTTGGTCTGTCTGTCTGTTTGTCTGTCTGTCTGTCTGTCTGTACATTTGTCTGTTTGTCCACTTTTATTGGCACCGGGTACTTCAAACGGTCGACCCCATTCGCAGCGCCCACCAATGTTGCTCAAGATTTAGCGTTCATACTTTTGCAATTGTCAATAAAAAAACAATTATTGCGCATATCTGAGGCACCGTAACAACACGTATATAATCTGCAAGTGCGCCTTGTACTATAAAAGGCATACATAAGTAATTTTAAGAACCGTAGCGCTTATCACGCTACGTTGACCATGCGACGCTTGCACGAAAAGGCGAATGTTTCCAACGCTTTGCTAAGAGGAGACGGTGGTGGCACCTACCCGTGGTCTTGCGTTCTACACCTCATAACCTCTGAGACGGGCACGCACACCCGTCTCAGAGCCACGTGCTTCGTTTTCCAAGAAAACTGAGAGATGGCGCTCATGTCTCACGTGTGACGTGATTTGATCCGCTCGTTCGCCTCCGCTGCACGCTCAAGGCACTCTAACGATGCGCCTGCAAAATACCATTCGCCGATTTTCTTGCGCAGAACATCAAATGAATTGTTCACTCTCTCCACACGCAAGACTATCGTCTTTCGACGACATTTGCAGATTACATGCAGATACGGCACAATTTTTGATTGACAATTACACAGGTATGAACGCTGAACCTTGAGCAACATTGGCGGGCGCTGCAGATGGGGTCAGATGTTCGAAGTGTCGGCTGGTGCTGTTTAGAGTAACTGGTTCGCGTTAAGGGTGGAGAAACAGACAAATGTACAGACAGACAGATCAAAGTTTTTGCGTCAAAGGTCCCCAAGAAATACTATCGTCTTAAAAAAGAAAATAAGACAGAGGCGAGAACCACGGAAGTTGAGAAGTTTCGTATTCGCGGTGCGGCCACTGTATAGTACATGCGTGACAGTACTGAAACACTGGCCTATATGTTGATGCTCGTGTTTTACATACAAATTACACTGATGATTTTAGGAAAGCGGGGCAAAAAAGGAACAAACGGACGGCAGCGAGACAGAGAAAGATCAAAATTGAAAATTGGTTGGTTGATGATTGATTAGTGGTTGTGTAGTTTGATGATGAATTTGAAAATCAAGTATACAGAAGTCAGGTGCAGACGTCAGCAGGAGCGCGTATGCCATTGACATTTGCTCACTCTTTTGAATATTAGGTACAGCTCTTATATTCCAGCATGGGTTTGTAACAGTGAACCATGACCAAGACAACCAGTGTACTGCTGTGGAGACAATGTACCAGCCATAAAAATCCCCATTTTCTAAAGAGCAACTGCATGCAGTAACAATTATTATTTTCAGGTTCGTTCTGCACCATTTCTTGACCTCATCTGCACGCGAACGTTCACGAAAGAGATGTCCAGAAACATTATTTGTTTGGAGAGAGACCTGCCTGTCCACCGCTAATTTTTGTACGTCATACTTGAGCTTGGTGCGCGTTCCGGTATTCACTTGAACAGCGGTGTGATGCTGAATAATTGTAAGAGTAGCCACTCCCCATAAATAGGATCAGGTTAAGACTGAAAGTGAGTAAAAACCACTCTATATCGCGAAATACTGCGCATAAATTCTAACCGC